CTTTCCTGTAAAATAGAAACAATAATATAGAACCTATTTCATAAAGTTATAAGTAGTTTGTAAGAACTACATGACTTAGTAAAATGTTCAATAGTTCCTAGTGTGAAGCAAACATTTAATAAATGTTTGTTATCATTATTATCCCAAATATACCATCAGTAACATTATGAATCATTACATATACTAAATTAGATAAATCTATTTAAAAAATTAGGGAAACATAATTTTATTTGAAGGTAAAATTCAAATAACTGAGTATTTTCAATTATTAATATAAACTATAGACTATCATCTCCTACTAGGTTGAATTAATATGAACCGCTGATATGAAACTACTTTTGAGCTATAAAAACTAATTTTAGGCCTGGGGATGTAACTCTGGTACAATATCTGCCTCAATGTTCAAGGCCCTAGGTTTTTGCCCCGGCTCCACAAAACAAACAAATGAAAAGCTGTGATTTCAATAAAACTTGCAATAAAAAAGAAAAGTAAGTTCATATGATGGAAACCAATAGCTTTCACTGTAACCTAAGCTGTTGGCAGTTCCATCTACAAAGTTTAATCCTGAGCGCTTTTCTGATTTTGATCTCTTTGCAGCTTTAACCAAAGATTGAAAATTTAACTGTTTAAACTACCCAATACATGTCCTAGGTTGAACATTTTTATTTTTATTTTATTTTATTTTTTGGTACCGCGGATTGAACCCAAGACCTCACACTTGCTTATGGCACTGAGCTAAATCCCCAGCTGTTTGAGCAATTTTTAAATATGAGGATTTCACATAAGCATACTCAACCCAATAGCAAAATAAATCTAGAGGCTTCTCTTGAAAAAAAGTGAACATAAACTGGATGCAGTGGCATTCATCTGTGATTCCAGTACTCAGGAGGCTGAGGCAAAAGAATTGCTATGAGTTCAAGGCTAGTCTGGGCTACATAGTAAATTCAAAGCCAGCCTAAAACTACATAGTAAGAACCTGTATCAAAAAACCAAAACTGATAAAATAGATAAAATAAATAAATAATTTTTTAGAGCCCCAAAACTGGGAAAAAAAAAAAAGAGGGCAATCTGGTAACACTAAGCTAGCATGATCAAAAGCCTGTAAGTGTCTAGAATAAAACAGCAGCTACCCCTTTGAATGGGACACCAGCTCTCCAAATTGCTAGTCTTAATCTAGCTTTACATCCAGCTTTGCCCTTTACTCATTTATCTGCCTAGTCTTTGGACAGTCCGTTTTTCTACCTCTAATTCCACCTACATCAATACACTCCATTTGCAGTTCAGATTCAGATTCAATTACCATAATCTGTACGTCCTCAAAAGCAAGAGTCTATACCATCTCTGTTCTGCAGGACAGACTGCTTCACATCTCAACCACACTCAACACCATCTTACCTCCCATTTCCAAGCAATCACCAATTCCAGTTGATTTACCTCCTAAACATCTCAACTCTATGCCATTTGCCTTCCCCATTACCATGACTTTATTCCATTTGGGCCCCTCCAACTGTCACAAATCCTCTCACTCTGGATCTTGGTGAACAGCTGAGGCTTGTGAAATGAGCACATGCAGCTAAACCCCTGCTGCCCATACTCCTCCTCCCATCTTCCATCTCACCACTGGCAACTCCATTCTTGTTACTCAAACCAAAAATCTTGCTGACAATCTAGACTTATCTTCCTGTCAAATGTGACCACTTAGCCTTCAAATGTGCCACACAACAGAATATTACTTAGCTATATAATTGGAAATACTAATACATGCATGAATCATAAAAACAGTATTCTAAACTAAAATAAAGCCAGTAAAAGAAAATACATACTGTATGATTCCACCTGTATGAAGTTCCTCAAATGAAAAACCTATTCTATAGTGATACAAAGCAGATCAGTGGTTGCCTGGGACCAAAGGTTGGGCGTGGCAACTGACTGAAAGGAATCTTTGAAGTGGTGGAACTGTTCTATGTCCTAATTGTGTGCCAGTTACAAATAAATTGTCAACATTAAGTGAATTATATAATGGATATATTTCAATTTATGTTGTATTTCACTAAATGGATCATACATAAACATACAACTGGACCACTTCTCACTTCCTCTCTATCCACACTGCTATCATGTGGGAACCACTAGTCTCTCTCTTCTAGTTTTCAATAACCTTCTAGTTTCCCTTCTTTGCTCTTCTGTGTTTTATTCACCTGAAGCCAGAATGATTCTGTTAAAACATGAAACACATCATTCAACTCTTCTGGAAAAATCCCTCTAAGGGTCCTTCACCTCAGTAAAATGTAATGCCCATGGAAAGACTTCATGTCTTTTGGCTCCCTGTTATGGGTGGGCCTCATCTCCCACGACTTTCCCCATCCTGATCTGTACTCCCACTGGAAATGACCTCCTTGCTGCTCTTTAAACGTGGCAGGAACATTCCTGTGTACTTATTTCCCCTGCCTGCAGTGGTATGCCTGCCCACTCACCAACACAGCCAGAGCCATATAGCTTGTACCTTCTCCTTCAGCTCTTTCACCAAAAGAGTCTAGTGAGTCTTTTTTCTAGCCACCCTAACATTTACGGACAGATGCGCACACACACCTTCTCTCCCCATCCCCTCTCAGTGCAAGGCCCTAGGGTTCAATTCCCAGTACCAGCAACCCCACTGCCCCCTCCCACTAAAGAAAAACACTGACTATAGATTTGTTTTGGAGATGCATCGCCTGCTTTAAAAATTTTAGGTATATTAGGCTGGGTAGATAGGTATACACCTGTAACCCCAGGCTTCTGAGAGGCTGAGGCAAGAAAAGTACAAGTTTGAGGTCAACCTGGCCATTTCCGTGAGACCCTGTTTTAAAATAAAAAAATAAAAAAAGGCTGAAGCAGGGTGTAATGACACATGCCTATATTTGGGAGGCTGAGGTAGGAGGGTTGTCAGGAGTTCACGGCCACCATGGGCTACAAAATGAGTTCAAAGCCAGCCTGAAGTGCTGAGCAAAACAGTCTCAAAGACCAAAAAAAAAAAAAAAAAAAGTGCTGGAGATATAGCTCATTAGCTCAGTTGAATTTAATCTACAACACTGGGCTAGGGAAGTATTTCGGTGGTACAGTGCTTGCCTAAACGGTCTTGGGTTCAATTCCCAGCACTACAAAAACAATTAATTTTAAAATTTTTAACACATTTAAACATATGCTAATGTCTATCTGACAAAATTTACTTTCTATTCTCATAAAGAATTTAAGATTTATGACATTCAGAACATTTTAAACCAAATCTGCAGAGACTTTCTGTACAAGGATCAGTAAACATGAAGTAACTCTCATTAGTGCCAAAAGAAGTAAACCAGGTGTTACTGGCAAAAGTCAGATTCTGTGTTGCCTATGACTGCAAAAATCATGAAACCACCTCAGACTAAAAACTCATTTTAAAAAATACGCATAACTCTTATTCATCCTTATTTAAATAATTCATTAGAAGAATGTCTTGTTGGGGCTGGGGATTTAGCTCAGTGGCATAAGTACCTGCCTTGTAAGCAGGAGGTCATGAGTTCGATCCCCGGTACCAATTAAAAAAAAAATGTCTTGTTTTATAAGCAAGTCATATAAATGTGGGAGTATTAAAGGGGAGATCAGTTTAACATAAATAATTTAAAAATAAATCAGAAGGTATAAATGCCTTTGCTCTAGGGATCCAAGTCTCTTATTTAAACAAGCAAACAACACAGCTCCTGGAAGTCCAGAAAAGATGCCTCCTTGGTGACTGCAGAGGACAGACTTCCATACTGCAGCCTGCATCTGCACTTGGCAACTCTTACTTGAAATGCGTTAAAGTATTCAACTTCATTCAAGTAAAGAGTTCTACTGCATGTGTTATAAGCAGCATTACATATCTAACCTAAAATAAGGATTCTGTGATTTATCATTATGATTTACAATGTTTCATACAATTAAATGCAGTGAAATTTTTCAGAGAAAGCATCATTATTTAAGCAGCTTTGTATAAATATTAACAAACACTAAATATTTTAAAGATAAAAGCAAAAAACATTAGCAAGATCATTATTGAACATGCTGGTTTGTCTTAGCCAAGTTTATAAAGCTGGTTGCCTCATATATAAGCTGCATCTTTCATTTCTACATGTCAATTTCTTTAAGAGGATAATAAAGAAAAATACAAAATACTGTCTTATCACAAAAGAATAATAGCTGTCTGAATACCACATATAGCATGCCTGGTCACTCTCAGCCTTCATAACCAAATCATTTTTAAGATATAAATTTATTTAATATTCATTCATCCTGATATACCTAACATGATCAAGAAAAGCTCATTAACATGTACTTTTATTTGCTGGTTTACTTTCAAAGCAAGATGCAATGAGAATGATTATCTAGTACCTTACCCTTTCTACCGGCGAACCATAGCATGCAATGCCGAAACATAGCAGTGGCAGATGGCATTGGTGTTATTAATATAAAAAAGGTTAACAGCAGAGAAATGACAGCTGCAGACAAGACACAGAAATGCAGATGAAATGAACACAAACTTGTAGTTCTTGAAGCAGAGCAAAGCCTTTAAGCGAAGGGCTGCACTAGCTTCAATTTAATTTACATTTTGAGTTAGACACGGACAAACACTGCACCCTTCACAATTAGTCTTTGGACTCTTCATGCAGAAGCAGCACCACACTCCTTGATAAAGAAGATCAGCAACCTTCTGAAAACACAAGCCAGCAGCAGCAGCAGCCCATTACTGTTTTCACTGATTTTTATCCTTTAAATTTTTAATCTCCAATTGCCGCCAGATCCACAGTCATTTCAAATAGATCTGTATCCACTGCAGATACAAATCCCTGCCTAACCTGCAGTACCACTTCATCCAGAACATTCCCGTGCACTAGTTCATGCAGGATCAGTTGCAAAACCATTCAAATCATTCAGCAAATAACTTAAAACACAAGGAAAGAAGCAGTTGGGACCGTGAAGAGAAAGAATCTCTTCTTTAAGCTCACCCTGGAAATGGAAGGTTTTCTGATCAACAGTTATTGTGAAGGTGCTGTCGTCCTCATCGTCTATACCAATCACAGCTCCCTGTGAAACAAAGAGCAAAATCCCAATAAGGCAAACGATGACATCAGCAATATTCACTACTGCTACGGCCCTGAGATACTTAGTGCACCAAGGACACTGGAAGCAGGCTAGACAGAAAAGAGAAACCTGAGACTCTGTTCTTCCTGAAGGAGGGAGAACGAAAAGAGAGGGGCTGGCAGGACACTCCAGTACCCTGCAGACACTCTCTGTGCCCTGATGAGGCACCAATGACGCGGGAGAGGGGGAAGGGACAAACATAGAAGCTGAATCTGAAATCTGTTCAGTATTTAAGAGCCAGCCACTCGCCTTTCTGAGCAATTTTTCATGCCTATATTTTGTAATATAAACAACTACTTTGTTGATAACAATACAGTGTACTACTGATATTCTCCTACAATCTTGTTTTGAAATTTTGGACCATTGTTTTTTTTTCTTTAAAATTAAAAAAAAAAATGCTCAATCAATCAATCAATCAATTTGCTCACTACAATGGGAGTCAGAAATGTGCACCTGCCTATGTTGTTGTGACGCTCATGGAAGGATGGAAGGCAAGTGCTTTCATCCGGCTTTTTCTGTGTTATATTAGTGCAGAAATGCCAGATGATATTTGCTTCAAAATACTGCCCAACCCTTTTTTCCAGATGCTACCATAACCACTTGTATATTGCTGTGTGATTGCAGTTCGCCCACTATATTACGATTATTTAGATGCCGGCCTCCTCCACTGAACTGCTATGAGCTCTCAGAAACCTAGAATTATATTTTTTATTTTGTCACATGGCACTCAAGTACAGAGCATATTTTTGTTGTTGTTTTGTTTTTTGGTTTAGGGGATTTCTGAGATCAGGTCTTGGTTTATAGCCCAGGCTAGCCTCAATTTCATGACAATCTGCTTGCCTCAATGTTCTGAGTGTTAGGATTACAGGCCATACGCCACCGTAACCTGGCCAGAACATGTTTTGTTTTGTTTTTTTGTACCAGGGATCAAACTCATGACCCATGCTTACCAGGCAAGCACTTTAGCCATTGAGCTAAATCCCTAGCCCAAGAGTATGTTTTTTAAAGAAAAGCATGAACAACTCTCCAAATGAGTGGAAAGAGGACAAGGACCTAGGCTTATAAACTGATTATTTTAGGAGGCCAAGGATATAGCTCAGTGATAGAGCACCTAGTCCTGAGTTCAACCCCCAGAATCACAAAAAAACTCACTTTCTGTAAGTTGTTTATTTTAGTAAAATGGATAAAGTTTGAAATTTTTATTTTTTTATCGTCGACTATGTATAGTCTGTTAAGACAACAGGAATTAAGAGAAGGGACAGGAAACTAAAATAGGGAGTTTTATTGGTCACTATCCTTAAGGAATAAGAATGTTAAGTATTCTGGAGGGAAAACTAGAGAAAGTAGGACAGGTCAAATGCTCCACCTTAGTGACAAGAGGTAGTATGCCACACACAAAACCAGAGACCTTGAAAATAATAACTGAAAAGACTCCTGGAGGGAAAAATCACATGAAAAAAGGCTACACTGTGCGTAGGGGTACTTTTATTCCAGAAATATTAGGTAATAGAGCCAAAACATGTATTCATCTAGCTGGACCTCACCTCTATCCAAATTCCATCCATTTGATTTATCTTACTTACTCTTCAGTTTCAGATTCAGTGGGAAAATTTATTCTCCTATATGATAAGGAAACTGTGTTCAAAAGTCTAATGAATTACCCAGGGTCACACATGAAGTTAACAGTAGACCAGAAAGTATCTATTACAACAATTCCAGGACATCAAATAGAGACATATCTCAGTGGACAGGCAAGTAAGAGAACAGCAGATTCTAGTTAACTTGATTTTGTGATTAGCTGAGTTAACCTTCTATATCACAATATATCAACTTTTATGAGTGCAAATATAAAATATAGAAGTATTCAATTACTAAATACAAAAATATGTGCTAGATACAGCTCTGAGAATAGTCTCAGTCTTCAAGGAACTTGTATTCTGGTTGAGATAAAACATACAAAGAGATAACACATGGGTACTACTTCCTCAGGCTGACAGGCACACTCAGCTACTTCGGAACTATTTTTCTGAGTTCCTCAACTCTTCCTCATCCTCACTACTCCTATAATCCAGGCTTCCACCATTCCTTGCTCAAGAATGCAATCTCTTTGCCTTCAGTCTAGCCATTTTCTAATTCATAGTCTTTCTTATCATCAAAGAAACACTTCTAAAGCACAGACTCTTGCAGGAGAAGTACACATTTAAAACGTTCCCTGGATCTTCATAAATAGATAAAGTTAATGTTACCTTTTAACGCTATTTAAGATTGTTCAAAACTAGGTCCCCAGAAACTTTCCCAGCCTCCTTCCCCACCTTGTAGAGATCTAATACACTGTCAGCCTCAAAGTTTCTTCCACACAAATTATTAAGCAATTTTACTTATGCCATTCTTTCAGCTTAATTCCCCTCTATCTGAGGGGGAGAAAAAAATGAACCCCATATCTTTCTCTCGTTCCCCCTCCCCTTCTCATTGCTTTAAGGGGCTGGGGATTTAGCTCAGTGGCATAAGCGCCTGCCTTGCAAGCAGGCAGTCGTGAGTTCGATCCCTGGTACCGATAAAAAAGGAAAAAGACAAAAAAAAAAAAAAAAAAAGAGAGAGAGAGATGCTTTTAAAAGGGGGTTAAGGGCCCAGGGATTTAGCTCAGTGGCTCAAGTGCTTGCCTGGTACGTGTGAGATCATGAGTGAGTTCAATCCCTGGCGCCCCCCCTCAATAAATAAGTAAGTAAATAAATAAAGTAAATATAAGTAAAATAAAAAGTGGTTACAACTAAATCTTTTGCCCACTGATACAATCTCAGCACCTTCCTCTCACGCAGCAAAGCAGCACTCTGGGAGGTTGAGGAAGGAGGATGCCAAGTTTCAGCCCAGTCTGGGCAATTTAGCAACTTAGCAAAACCTTGTCTCAAAGTAATAAAAAGGTGGTATGGATGTAGCTCTTTGCCAAGCCCCTGAGTTTAATCCATAGTACTGCAAAAAAGGAAAAAGAAAAAAGTGAGGGAAGCCTAGGGATGTAGCACAGTGCAAAAATCACTTCACTGTCATTTTTATCAAAGCACTCATTTCCCATGGCAGTACCATAGATCTGCACTGTTCAATGAAACAGACATATAAGCATTTAAATTACACACATATAAGCATTTCTATTTTAATCAATTGAAGTAAAATTTTAAAATAATGAGAAGGTATAGCTCAGTGGTATAGTACATGCTCACTCAGTATAAGCAACATCCTGAGTTTGATTCCTATCACACTAGCCTATCTCAAATCCTCAAAAGCCATGTGATTTTAGTGGCTATGGAACTGGATGGCACAAAAACAAACATTTCAATAATTACAGAAAGTCCTACCCGTCTGCGCTGTTCTATACCTTGACATCACAGGGAACTACAGTGAATGGTGGACAGTGCCATTAAACATTCCTGATAAACAAAGCACTATGCTAAGTATTTCACATACACTCTTTCAGTTGGGAAACGTTATTTCTAAGTATAACACATACAAAAGTCATAAACAGCCGGGCGTGGTGGTACATGCCTGTAATCCCAGCACTCAGGAGGCTGAAGCAGGAAGATTATTTGTGAGTTTGAGACTAACCTGGGCTACAAAGTGAGCTCAATGTGAGCCTGAACTGCACAAAGAGACTCTGCTCAAAAAGACAGGAAAAAAAAAAAAAACCCATAAACATATAAAGTCAATAAACACATTCTCCCCTTGTAATTCTAATCCTCTAATCATTTACCCACCCTTCTACCTTAAAATAAACACGTCTTAATTTCAACATTACACAGTAGTTTTTTTTGAACTTTGTATAGATTGTCTCATATTGCTTATTTTCTCTTGTATCCAACTTCTTTCACACAACATGTGCTATTATAAATAACCTCTCAAGAATCCATTTTCTTTTAAAAAAAATCCATTTTCTAGTTACCAGTTATTGGTGTGCTGATTTTGTACAGTAGCTTTGTATTCAATAATCTTGCTAAACTCACTTATCAATTGCAATAGTGTATCTAAATGGAATACTTTCTGGATTCTACACCTGCTCTGCCTTCCCACCTGAACACTCATCTGCATCTAAACCTCTCTTGCTTCCTTTTCACTTGTCATAGTTAGAAAGGGGGTCCCTTCTTCCATACGAAACCCAGTCCATCGACTCGTGTTCACCCTGTATCACCTTTCCTCAGGTCCCTCACTCTGCCAACTTCCAAATTTTCTCTCTCTGCTGCCTCTTTCCCAGCTCCACTCATCATGTTCAAGACCCCATCCTCTCTAACAATAGTACAACCCTTTTCAATTCCACATCCTCGGGGCTGGGGCTTTGGCTCAGCAGCATAAGTACCTGCCTGTTAAGCACAAGGTCTTGAGTTTGATCCCTGGCATCACAAAAAATAAAATAAAATAAAAATGTCCACATCTTCTGTTAGCTAGCAATTGATCTGTCTCATTCCCTTACAGTCAAAATTATCAGAATCATCCAAACCTCTTGCCTATAAGTTTGTCTTTCCATTCCTTGGTGGATATGTAGCCAATGGCTCTACTTCACTTTCACACAGGTGAATTTTGGTTTGCCTGGAACAATCCTGGATTGTCCTTGTTGGCCTGGAACAACAATGAAGAGATCTCCCCTTTCACGCTCAGAGGTGAAACATTTAGTGAATTTGGTCACTGTGCTCAATATGGCCCTTAGCATTTTGCTCCACACTTGCCTATCCAATCTCATCCTACACCTGAACAACACGAGACTGATCCAGTGCCCCAACTTCTTTCCCACCATATCTCTGCAGATGTTCCCTCTGCTACAACATTCTCTCTTACCTAATACCTTGTTCCCTCTGCTACAACATTCTTCCCTACCTAAGACTATTACTACTGCCTTACATATCTAATAAAGGAAACAGCCTTTGAGGATCCATATGGGGAATGGTATTCCATAACCAAACAAA